GTGTGTGGGCTCCCCCGGGCCAGGGGGCTGCCAGCCTGTCTCCGAGCGGAGCACGTTCCCTTCGCCAGCGCGGGGTGGGTACGGTCACCGCTTCACAGAGTCCGTCTGGTCCCGGTCCCAGGCTTGGAGCGAGGGGCAGCACGGGGACCACGGGTTCAGCTTGCCCCGTGAGGGATCAAAGGTTTGTCTGATGAAAGGCGGTAGTAGTCACCCCGAGCTGCGCGAGCCGCGGCGGTTGGGGAGCCCCGGTTTGATGCTGTGTCCCGAAGGACCCTCGAGGCACCTCTGCTTTGGTCGTGCCCACTGCTTTGCTCGCCCGCCGGCGTGGGTCAGTTCTCCCTGCTCCGAGTCGGGTTCTCCCTGCTCCGAGTTGGGTTCTCCCTGCTCCGATGCACCCCTCGAGTCACATCTGGGCAGGGCGACCGAGCAGGGTTGACGCTCGTCCGTTGTTCCTCTTGTTCCAGGTGAAAGCTGTGCAGACCCGCAGGCGATGGGTGGCTTAAGATACAAGGAAATGGATTTTCAGGAGTACTTGAATTTCCAAACGTGCACGGTTTTATTTTATTTCAGAAGGCTTGCGAGCCGTTTGCACCGTCCCATCGGCTGTTTGTGCCTGTGGACAAGTTTTACAGAGCTGGAACTGTATTTGCCTTTATTCCTTGCTTTGCAAAATGGGTTGTGGTGGGTGTTTGGCAGGTGGTGGGTGTTTGGGTGGTGATGGGTGTGAGTACTTAAGGACTGTAAGCTGGTCTGAGCAGAGAAATCTTCGTCAGGAGGAGGACTGGGTTGAGGAACGGAGCGTGGGAGAGGAGCCGTGACAGCACGGGGAGGCGTGGGAATGGTGACACTGGAGTTGTTGGAAGCTTCCCTTGGACACGCACAGCGGCAGGGGCTTGAGTGATGCTGACAAGTGGCGCGAGGCATTGCCTCACCTATTCCTAAAGAACTGCTGTCTTCCTCGAGAGGAGAGCCGCCCTGAGTGCCTGGAGCCTGGCCGTTGCGGGAAGGCGCTGTGGCGAGGGGCTGAGGCACTGGTGGGGCAGTTGGCATCTTCTCGGGGCTGCCCCGTTCACGGGTGAACACACGGGTTTTGTTCCGAGTGCCTTGCTGTAACGCTTGGCCTGGCTTGAGGCATGGTTTCAGCCAGTGCTCTGGGGAGCTGCTTTGCTGAGCTTTGGCTTGGTGTGAATTAAAATGTCTCAAGCTATCGGAGTATCGTCCGGGAGTCTTTTAATCTGTACGGAACAGGCGCTGTTACCGTTTTGCTGAGACTCGCCAGCAGCTCTGGCCTTTGTCTGTGTGGTTTGGCAGATGTTGTGGGGCTGTGGGAGGTCAGGTTCGTCTGCCCAGGCGTCACGCGCTGAGACGGTATTTTGCTTTTTCCTTTAATATTAATGCTTCTGAGGGAGTTTTGCAAGAGCTGTGCCCTTTCACATACTTACAGGTTTTCAGTGTTGAACTTGTTTAATTTCTTGGCTTGGTGCTGCTGCTTTTATGATTCACTAATCTTGTGTTTGGTTGCATATCTCTAACTTGTTGAATAATCATGAGGACCTTTGTCCCAGATTTCCGTAGCCAACACTGGGAGGGGGAAGGGGGAATTTTTTTTTAAGAACGCTTTTTGCTGAATCTCTCGTGACTCTGGAGAGGGCCCTTATTTATGGTTCTGCTTTTCAGGGGAGACTTAAAACATTTGCTTCCCTCTCATTTGGAGAGAGACTTCCTTTTCTCACACAGACTAACAACGGAGGGTTGTTACTCGCCAGCCTGCAGCATTTAACCAGCTCCCGTGTAACCATATCCCTTTCTGCCTTTTGCTTTTTGAAGTGCTGTAGCTCAGGGGATAAGAAAGGCTTTGCTTTGGCTCAAGAAGCCATCTGTGTCATTCTGATTCCTCCGTAAGTCCCATAAAAAAGCATGTAGGAGTAATAAATGTTTGTGTGTGGTAGTAAAAGGAGTAAAACCAGTGGT